AACTTGTTTGTTATTTGCTCCAAAACTTAATAAGATGAAGCTAAGAACTCATTCCAGCACATATACTGCATTCTCTCTCTCACTTTTTCTTATTATTTATAAGAGAACAAAAAAAAAAAAGAATTCTCCCTTTTTTCTATAAGGAACATATTATGAGAACCTGCCTGAAAAATTCCAATATGAAACAATAAATTGCTATAGATTTTCCAAATGCCAAAAAATTATCCATAAACCAACAAACAGCCTGAAATGGACAAATAAAGAATAAGAAGAATACACCATCAGCGTGAAATTAAAATTTGCTATAATTATATATCTGCTCAAGGAATAATTCACAATGCAAAGGAAACAGTGGCAATTGACCTACTTATAATACGGAAACATGGTAAACAGATACAGAAATAAACCACATTATAGAATCACCAGAAGATCTTAAATCTAACCACCATCCACGGTAATGAAATCCAAATTATTTGATAGCAAATGTGGGCTTACCTAAAGTTATACAGAATGTACCAAACAAAATTCACTACATGTCTACATTTTCCAACAACAAATCTTCCATGAGGAACTGCAATGAAACATATCAACTCTTTTACTTCCTTCGAAAAAACGGAATTTATGCAGATTTGAAGCTCGGATACAAACAATGTTAAACTGCAAAACAAAATAGGAAACCTGTGATATGAGAGATTTGCAGATTTCTGGGAAAGCGGATGCATACAGTATCCCCATTTTATGCCACTTGAATGGCCGCAAATCCCAGCATCATCTTTATAAATATGGAAGCAAGGGATGATGCTTCAATTTTTGGCCCTGGAATATGCATGGGACTGATTAATAATATCCTCAAAAAGGAGCTTCATATGCTGCCAAATTTTTTATAGACAGCAAAATTCTGCCCATAAATCCATAGTTAAAACCATTAGTAAAATTGGGAAGTTGTGCAGAATTAGAGCATATACAAAGATTCACAGAAAACGTAGATAAGACTTAAAGTTTCTAGTCCCAAGTTATAACCACCATTTCATACAGGTAAGCAACATTCCAAATTACATCTGAAGGTACAACCTTCTGTACAAACTAAATAATCAGATAAAAAAGTTCCAGGCTTATCCTTCAACTATTTGTATCAGCTAAACTTCAACTACAGCCTACATTAATGGGCATGTGCCCTCCTTCAAATATTTTGGCATCTAGTCTGCAAAAGCTCCTCATACAATCATTTAAGAGGTACGAAAGAACTTTAACACACATTTCAATGAAGGATACAGTGTATTATCACTCCTATACCTGCTGTTGCTAAAACATCATTCACATCTCGTTTATTTTGTGCTACAGGATGTTTTTGCCTCTAAAATAGATATTTCTAATTTCTGCAATGTATTCCTATACTGCATATAGGAATCACAAGATAAAAGTGAACTGAAGAAAACCCTGACCGCACAAGGACAGGAATCAGTACAGTCATTCACCATGATATGTTGATACATGTTTCCAATATAAAAAAAATAGATACAACATCCCATACTACAAAAGTGAACAGTTAGAAAAACTGTATTTAACTGAACCTCCCAAGTTACAAAACATAACATGACTAGCTTTTTACAATTCTGTTAGCAACAGGAACCTAACATAGAGAAGAAAAGAAAGAAAAACATTACAGCCGCTATTTGATATAATATGAACCTTTAGAAGAAATTAGGTTCTTTAGCTCCATCAAATGTTCATCATTTGAAATATGCAGTGTTATACGAAGATCAGTTAATAATGCTTCTTTTTCCCAAGTTAATGGTCCATAAGCATATAATGCCACCAGGGTGCAGTGATAAGCATGCAACTCTAATCTATGAACACTTGTTGCCAATTCCTCTTCTGGAGGATTATTGTGACTTTTCTCCTTATATCCTGAAGGACCTGAACCACAAACTGACTCCGCATCACTACAAAGGCCACCTGAAACTCGACGTGAAACTCGTGGAAGATGACCTAATAATTCGTTTGGTCTCTCACTAGTGACACTACAACTATCAACAGAGCAGGCATCGCTATCGGAATCGCTAGGTTCCAAACTTCTCCTAGGGAAAAAGCCAATGACACCACCTAAATCTTCTCTCTCCAATTCATTAAATCCATTTGATCTAATGTTAATGGAAGTATGCACGTATTTTTCACCCAGAGTTCCTCTTGGGTAAGCAACAGCATCTACCTTTTCCTGTAAGGTCACCAGAGCTGCTCGTTGCCTGCGATTATCTGTCTCGATTGCTTGAAGTTTCTGAGCATTCTCATAAAGTGAATCAACACCAGATGTGCAATAAGGAGACATTCTCTTTAGGGATCTTGATGAGATTAAACAAGACTCTTGTCCTCTATTTTTTCCTTCAGTGGCTAAACCATCAGTTTCTCCAAGACCTTTAGTATGTGCATCAAGTTGCAGCGGCTGCGACTTAGTCTTCTGACTATAATCTTGAGCTGAAATTTTGTTAGATCTCTGGGTCCCAGCTTTATCACAACCCTACAAAAGAAAACAATAGTGAGATCAGGGAAGGCAAGGAAGAAATAGATTCTGAATTTTTTATACAAATTATTGAAAGATACGCCATATGCATAAAATAAAAAATTCACCTGCTTATTACTATAAGCACATCAAATACAATACTGTGTAAGGACAACTAAACAGATGTTCAAAAGTGTTCCCTCTTCACATAGAACTGCCATCAATTAGAATAATAATTTTATAATTTGATATGATGCGTATAATCTAGAACACTTAACCACCAGGGTCAAACCCACTTCCCATATTGTTCAAGCTACACGGACTATACCTTGTCCAGAGAACGAATGCATAGAGACACATATACACAAATGAAACAGTTCTCACAAAAAGATCTAGTTAAAAACATATATGGACTCAAACAAAACATAATGGATCTGACGTAGACAGCAATACAAAATAATCCTGTCAAATGAACTTTTTCTAATTAAAAACAAAGGCAGGGAAAAGAGCAAATAAATGATGAGAGCAACTCCAAGTTATTACAAACTTTTATAACAAGCTTGTTCTCTGTAAAGCCAAACATAATAATAAAATGAAAAAGAATATGTACCTTTCTTATAAAAATCCATTTGCCATCTTTCCAATTTTGTCGATCTCTCATGCCTGATTTATGAATGCTAAGTTCCAGAGAGCAACCAAGTAGTCTCACCAAATAACGATCACATGGTAAAATACTGAGCACGATCGCAACTTTCCAAGAGCAGTCATTATATACCTCCACAATGTCTCCAGGTGCCCAAGTTTCCACACACTGCACTACAGGGGGGCAGGGCCTTATCATCTTCCTTGATACCCTTTCTTTGATATTTTCACTTTGCACTGGTGAACCAGAACCATATCTAACACTGCAAGTGAGGCCATTACCAGACACTATCTCGGCAGCACGCCATGAGATTGGCACCTCAGCTCTGTTCATTACTTCCACCTTATCACCCTTTTTGAACCTCATGTGAGAAAAAATTCTTTCCAACAGCCACAACCTGTGATAAGACAAAAAGATATAATACTAAGCAAAATCCTGTAAAAAGATCCCAATACAACATAAGCACTGAAAATTAAGTTCAAATAGACTAGAGGAGAACATGTTTGAATTCCAGTCGAAAACTCTATTATGTTAACTGTTCACGCATTATACCAAAAACTCAGTAAACCGATAGGCTAAATATCTCAAAAAACTTATACACAACCCTCCTTCATTATACAAAACGAATAAGTTAAAATAGACAAAACCAAAGTTGACCATAGACCCCGAACTAAAAAGAAGCCTTCAAAACATCACAATTACCTGAAAAAATCGTTTAATATGCCAAATCGCCTACAAATTAATTGCAATACTGAACCAAGTTGCACAACTGTTAAATCATTAGCTCATAATCTTTTTGGATTTTCGAGATTTAAGGATTTTATTGCTGTTTCTTGAAGAAATTAGGATTGATTATCAAATAAGGAAAATGGTCCCAATAAAATCATAAAAAAAATAAAAATTAGAGAAACAATTCTCGTAATTGGCTTAAAGTTGTGATTAGCAATAAATAAATTCGATGAAATTCCCTAGAACAATAAAAATGAAAATATTCAGATGAAATCTCATAGAAGTCGTGAACTGAAGTTATGAAATTTACAACCCTAAAAAATACAAAATAAAAGAAATATTTAATTAGATTCGGATCATGATTAGCACAAAAAAATCTATGAAATTCCTAAAACTTATATAACTAGAAATTTCGATAAGATCAAATAGAAGTAATCGGTTGAATATTGCGGAAATTAAAACCCTAAACAATGAGGGGGAACTTTTTAGCAAATAAAGAAAAAAATACAATAAATGCCCAAAATATTTTAAGAAATTCAGTTAAGCACAGAAATAATATATTCAATTTAAGGTAATTAAAAACCCCAAATGAAATAAAACACTCAATACGTTCCCAAATATGGAAGAATTAGGGTTACAAAAACCCAAAAATTACAAGGTAATAAGCTAAGAAAACGCACCTTTATCGAAGAATTGATGAAATAGATATTTAATTGAACAAGTATTTCTCAGTATTCTGGATTGTAATTGCTCCCGGAGAACACAAAGCTTTTAGAAATTATAATTAGATATTGCGGTTCTAGGGTTTTCAAATATATTTTGGGGTTCGAGGAGAAAGGATAGATCAGTGAATAAATATTGGGGTGAGGGTACTTTGGGAAGATCTGTCAAATAGAGCGTGTTTTCACTTGCCTCTACTTTGTTAATTCTCTTCTTTTTCCTTCTTGCCAGCGGTTTTGAATTGAATATAAAAGTTTAACTTACCTTCTAAATCTAATTAATTATTAAAACAAAGTCAAGCATATTCTTTAAGGGTCTGTTTGAGAACCAACCCGATAATTAAAATTGATGTAATTATTAGGACAGTAATTACACATCCTAGTAATTACAATGACTTGTTTATTTGTCATAACGTAATTACATTGTAATTACAAGCGTACTGTTTGGCTGCACAAGTGTAATTACATAGTTAGATTAAATTTTAAATGAAGTAATTATCAAAACTTAAAAG